CCTTGGCAAATTTAGGGGGCCTCGATGCCTTCCGCAAATATGCACGCCTGAGGGGTCCTCAAAAAGTCCCCATCACGCCCCTGCAGTAGCCCGTCCCTTCCTCGAAGGATCAGCGCTCTAAGATGGGGGTTTCTGAAATTGGAGGTACTTGATTAGGGTCCTTATGAATTATAAAGGGAACCTACTATACTTGCAGGTCTATAATTCGGGTTCCCCTCGTGTTCGTAAACCCCCCCAAAATCTGAACCTCTGAGAACGGATGTTTTTCGAAGCCGAGGTCCTTCGTTGCCGAGTTTTGCAATCCCTTCGTGCCTGCGGCCGGTGGATCCCCTCTTCATCTCTATGGCACCACGACTGGGCTGTGAGGGTTTCTGTGGGCCTAAACCCTAGACCCTAGACCCTAAACCCTAAATAGGCCATGCAAGCTTCGGCCTTCAAGTTCCCGGAACCTGTCCAGGGATTCAGGGTAAATAAGGGTTTAGGGTTTAGGGTTTAGGGTTTCGGGTTTAGCCCCCTGTAGGCCTCCCGGTGCGCCGGCGCGGGACAGGGATTGGCAGGGGGCCCATCCCCAAGAAAGTTGTAACACTGATTGGCCTCTCGGGTTGCGGGCTTTCAGCGTTAAAGGTTGGGTTTTGGGTTTAGAGTTTAGGGTTTAGGGTTTAGGGGTGGGCACAGTGTGGGCACCTGAATCCCCTCAAGAAGAGGCGAGCATCGTGAGGTCATCATGAAGAGATGAGAACCTAGCTCGATCCTAGTATTCGTGATTCTCATGATGCATGCAGAAGGCTTACTGGCTCAAAACCCAACTTTTCAACTTTTGGGCTTCTTATAAGGTAGTTCATTCTGAAAGTGTCAACTTTTATTTCCTGGGTTTTTGGGCCAGTAAGAAGGCCATTAGAGACCCTAAGCATAGCATGTCCCAGCCCCCCGGGCAGTGGACGAAATGTACGAGGAGTGCATCGACTTGCAGCTTGACTCTCGCCAAACTCGAAGTCGCCCCCGGGTAGGCCCTAAACCCTAAACCCTAAACCCTAAACCCTAAACCCTAAACCCGTGGACCGTTCAACCGTCAGCTGCAACGATCCAGGTGTTTTCTGCATGGCGATGGAGGCGGTAGTCGAAAAGTTACCAGGTCGGCAGTTAAATAGGTTTAGGTTTTGGCGTTTAGGGTTTAGGGGTTTAGGGGTTTAGGGGTTTAGGGTTTAGGGTTTAGGGTTTAGGGTTTAGGGGTTTAGGCAACCCCCAAAGCCCCTAAGCCACGCAGGAAAGTAAACGTGAACGCCTCTCATGCTGCAGCAGGCAGCAGATGCTATAAGCTTTTCGCCATTGTGCTCTTCTAGCCAAGTTTTGGTGCACAAACAAACCTCCTTGGGACTTTGCGAGAGCAACACCCTTAGCTCCACACTGCCCTGTTGTTCCACCAATTGGTGTTCGGGGCCTCCGGTGCTTCATCTCCCAGTTAGAGTCATTTCCCCTTTTCCCCAACCACAAGCCCGACTGAACCCTCCAAACAGCTAGGAACCCTCAAGCGCATCTGTGATTTCTGCTTGTCTCCAGCACGAAGATCCCCCCCCCCCCCCCCCAAACTTCCGTCGAATCAAAGGATGACCGAGGGAAGCCTGTGGACGGCTCCTGAAGTGAGTGGTTGCAAGTGGCGCGGCAACACAGCATAGGCTTTGAGGTTCAGGGGGCGTTCGAATATGGGGGGGGGGGGGGGGGGGTTCCGAACTTAGGGGTGACCTTATTGGGGTCCTTATGATAATTCATCCTACCATTTGGGGGACTATATCTTAGTAGTAGAGTAGGTAACCTTTAACCTTTTTGGGTTAATATATTCCCCTTATATTCCCAAAGGTTAACCTTTAAAACCCCTAGGTATTAGGGGCCCCTTATTTTCTTAGGATGTTTTGCTTCATGCCCCGCTGCAGGGTTTGAGCTCGGGATGTTACCCCAATGTTTTTCGGATGTTGAGGGCTCTGGCGGGCGAGCACAAGAGCGTGCTACAAATCCTCTAAACCGTAAACCCCAAAAAATCTAAAACCCTAAAACCCTAGAACCCTAAAACCCTAAAACCCTAGAACCCTAAAACCCTAGAACCCTAGAACCCTAAAACCCTAAAACCCTAAAACTATAAACCCTAAACCCCCAAACCCCCCCCTCCCCCGAAGCAAGCATCCCAAAGAGAGGAAAGTGCTGAACATCTTCCGGGACCTGGACCAGCTCATGCGCAGCTTGACCTAAACCCTAAACCCTAAACCCTAAACCCTAAACCCTAAACCCTAAACCCTAAACCCTAAACAGGTTTCGGTTTAGTGGCATGTGCTTCTTCCAACCGGATCGGCCCTGAGGTCGGAGTTTCGTTGTTCATTTTAGGGTTTAGGGTTTGGATTTGGGGTGTTTCATGTCGGTGTTTGGGGTTGATTTTGTTGGCTCTTTAGGCCCAAAAGAGAAGCTTCACTCAGAGAGCCTGAGCGTTTATGTACGTTGCACCTGAGAGTGAGACGGACACCTCTAACAACCCCTTCAGATGTTCCCCCTTGTACTAACAATCCTTCATAGGTACGACGATAGTGGTATGGGTTTAGGGTTCAGGGTTCAGGGTTTAGGGTTTAGGGTTTAGGGTTTAGGGTTTAGGGTTTAGGGTTTAGTGACTACAAGGGGCCCTAACTGACAAACCTGAAGGCTTACCAACTCCCTGGGCACCCCTCCCAGGGTGGCCCTTTAAAGGGCCATTTTTTAAGGGGTTATAGGCGTACAATAGCCCTAAACCCTAAACCCTAAACCCTCAACCCTCGGAACCTAAACCCTAAACCCTAAACCCTAAACCCGAAACCCTCAGAACCTGAGAGACCTCAAAAATTAAGTTCCCCAACGGCCAGGGTGCCGTCACAAGAGCCCGGATGCAGCACAACACCTTAACCCGAAACCCTACACCCTAAACCCTCAAGACAAAATGTATAGAAGTTGTATGTGATTATCTAAACAGCTGACAAGCAGAGTCTAAGTAGCGTCATCCAACGCGCCCCCGGGAGCCCAAATGCCGCAAATTTCTTAAACCTCTGGGGCCTTTCATCCGGAGGGAAAGCCGTGGGAGACCCACAGAGCCCCAGAAGGCCACCTAAACCCTAAACCCCAAACCCTAAACCCTAAACCCTAAACCCTAAACCCCAAACCCTAAACCCTAAACCCCAGGGCCGGGAGGCCCCAAAGCCTATGAATTACGTTCTGAAAGATAAGTTGTCGCCCAAAACATTTCATGCAAAACGTTTCGCTCAAGACGTTATGGTGACCCAAACCCTATACAATGTCTGTAAACCCTAAGCCCTTAAACCTAACGTCTAAAAACACAACGTTTCGCTCAAAACGTTCGCAACCCTAAACCCTAAACCCCAAACCCTAAAACAAAAAACAAAACCTAGAAACTACAACCCTAAACCCTACACCCTAAACCCTAAACCCTAAACCCCAAGCCCTAAACCCTAAACCCTAAACCCTAAACCCTAAACCCTAAACCCTAAACCCTAAACCCTACACTCTACGCCCTACACCCTACACCCTACACCCTACACCCTAAACCCTAAACCCTAAACCCTAAACCCTAAACCCTAAACCCCAAACCCTACCCCCCTCTTCCCCCCTCTAAGCCGAAGCCACAAACCCACCCAGGGAAGTGGCACAACCTTTGGACTTGCAGCTCTGCAGACCAGCTGCCTGGCCTTGCGGCGATCTTCCTCCGGAGGCAGGGTTTAGGGTTTAGGGTTTAGGGTTTAGGGTTTAGGGTTTAGGGTTTAGGGTTTAGGGTTTAGGGTTTAGGGTTTAGGGTTTAGGGTTTAGGGTTTAGGGTTTAGGGGTTTAGGGTTTAGGGTTTAGGGTTTAGGGTTTAGGGTTTAGGGTTTAGGGTTTAGGGTTTAGGGTTTAGGGTTTAGGGTTTAGGGTTTAGGGTTTAGGGTTTAGGGTTTAGGGTGTAGGGTTAGGGTTTAGGGTTTAGGGTTTAGGGTTTAGGGTTTAGGGTTTAGGGTTTAGGGTTTAGGGTTTAGGGTTTAGGGTTTAGGGTTTAGGGTTTAGGGTTTAGGGTTTAGGGTTTAGGGTTTAGGGTTTAGGGTTTAGGGTGGGTTGGGACTCGATCTGCATCGGGTTTCCGTTCCTGGCGTTTCATTTGTTTCATTGCTTGGGTCTCTCTGAGTATATGTTGCAGTTATCGGGCCCTACCTAACCGAACTGAAATCCCAGTTCTGAAAGCCCGGTCCTTGTGACCAGGCTGGCGCAATCCCGGGGCGATATGGGGCCAGGAGGGCGACTGCTGGTGCCTTTGGGCATTCGGCTTCAGAGGACGCGCTGCAGGGAGTGCCTGCGGTTTAGGGTTTAGGGTTTATGGTTTACATAGGGTTTCGGGTTGCTATGCGGCAGCCACGGCTTGGATTGTGAATCTGAAAGCTGCAACCCACACAAGAACTCCTAAAAGATCGAATCGCCTGTCCGTCTAGAGCCTCGAAATCTGAAACCGCAAGTATTGGATGTGAGCTGGAGGGTCATCTTGCCTCGTTCAGCTCGTTGAAGGCACTCGGGCTCCTCTCTCACCCTCTCTCTCTCTCTCTCTCTCTCTCTCTCTCTCTCTCGCTCTCGCTCTCTCTACAAGATGCCGACCGACCGGAGATGTGCAGAGCTTGACTATGGGAAGTGCAGGTGGACCTAGAGCTGCCATTCCATCAGGCATGAGTGCTGACCTATTCAGACTCTGGAGTTCAGGAAAGGCCGACTTAGGGTCCACACTCGCAGCATTGCAAGCCTTTTTGTTTCCTTGCGAGTGCAAGATTGAGCTCGCAATTTCGTGGATACCAAGCCCGAAGATTTCAGAACATGGCTTTGAATTCTCGACCGCAAGCATGCTGGCAGCCGCTTTAGAACGCTGCGTTTGAAAAGGTTTGCTGGCCCCAGGGACCTCGTAGATGGTAGGGGCTCGCCCAAAGAGGCTTGACCAGCGGCGTAGAAGCTGAACAAAAATGGCTGCCATCAGCGCCCTCCTGTCCGCACAGGGCGGGCTGGGGTACTTGGCCATCCATGCCGGGCAGTTCGGAGCGCAACCGCTCCTGTCCAAGCGCTTTGTAGACCCCCGGCTGAATATGGGCATCAAGGCTTTGCTTCCACAAAAAACCCGAAACCCTAACCCTAAACCCTAGACCCTAAACCCTAAACCCTAAACCGGAGTTCACCAAGAACTTGGGGGCGTTTAATTTGGGATTTCTGGGTCCCGGAGACACCATGCAGCTAGAGAAGCGAAAGCATCACAGCTCTGCACCTTACCCTGTTGGGTAACAGAGCCAGATCGTCTCGAAACCGAGGTCTTAAAGCAACAGTGTGCTCAGATACCATGTAAAATAGCCCTAAACCCTAAACCCTAAACCCTAAACCCTAAACACTAAACCCTAAACCCAAACCGCAGGCACCGGGCACACCAGCCGCGTCCTTGGTTTTGGGTGCGGAGGTTGCCAAGGTGCTCGGCTGCATGGGTATGCTGAGGGCCGAGGGCCGCCACTGGGATTGCAATGTCGGGTTTAGGGTTTTGGGGTTTAGGGTTTAAAGTTACCTTCAGAGTGCCGTTAGAGTGTCTTATAAGAGACTCTATAGAGCCGTTAGAGGGCTGAGGATTTGAGATGCTTAGTTCGGCTTTCTGTGTTGAGGTTGAAAGTCCGCTGGTGTTCAGGGGTTCGGTGCACTTAGGCTTAAGGGGTATACTGACCTAGATCATGTCAGCGTTGTAAGTGCTTAAGGCTGCGAGGGTTTCGTGAGCCGAGTCAAGTTGAGGACTTGTTTTTTTGTTTGGGGGGGTAGCCGTGCCTCTGCGGACAGCAGATCCCACCCCCAGATGCGTGTCACAAGAGGAGCGAAGCAACTCTTCAGGAAAGCACGCAGATTTCAGGCGGATTCGCAGTTCCGGAGCAAGGCTTTTCAATGTCATGGTGGGTTGGACAGCACAAACCGTGCAGCCAATGGCTTCTAGGATACGGGAGTGTGGGCGCGAATGTGGCCCACTTATCACACCTTACTACTCCAAAGCTCAAGAGATCACTCAATCGACTGGCGCGAGGAGTTGGCGAGATGTCTACCGTGGTGCTTAGAGGTTTCCTGTGCAGTTCTGTGTTCTCCATTCAAAGCGCGGTGTTTAAATGAGCCCCGACTCGAGGGCTACATATCAAGCAATCTTCACCACGAGTTGCTCAAAAGAACCCCCCCAAAAAAAAACATTCTTCCCTTATAAGGGTCACATAGGGAGTACTGTTTATATATATATATATATACACACACACACACATATATATATATATATATATTTTTTTTTTTTTGGGGGGGGGTGTTCTTAAGCAACTATAGTAGAATCAAGCACTCTCCTGGAAAGCGGGCCCCCAATCAGCTGAGGCATGGACGAAGCACTTCAGGACTGGTCCTTTCAGGGCTTCCTGCTCTCGGCGGGGATCCCCTCGTTGACGTACTTGGTGCAGAACCTTTGTGTCCAGGTGGGGCAGGGGAAAGGGGGAGGAGGGGAAGGAGGGGAGGGAGGGGATGAGAGAGAGAGGAGATATGGAGAGGGAGCGAGAGGGAGAGAGAGATATGGAGAGGAAGAAAGGGAGAGAGAGAGAGAGAGAGAGAGAGAGAGAGATCGGTGGTGTTAGGGTTCAGCAGCACTTCGGGGGAAGCATCCCCCTTTTCTGTTGTATGTGGGTGCTTGGGCTCCTCTCGTTTTGACCACAATGTGTCCCAAGTTCACATGGACCTCGCACTCGGGCGCCCGGCGCGCGCGGGGGGGGCCTTCGGGCTTCCTCATGCCCAGCAGAAGCAGAAGACGAGGTAGAGTAGGGTTTAGGGTTTAGGGCTTAGGGTTTAGGGTATATAGGGTTTAGGGTTTAGGGTAGAGAGAGCGGCAAGAACCATGACCTGTTATTTGCGAGTAGGGACGGAAGACAGCCCGACCGCGCCACAGGGTTTACGTTCGCACCCTCCGTTGTTTAAGTCTCCCGATCCAGGGCATGCCCTCGTTCCCCATTCCCAGGGTTTAGGGTTTAGGGTTTAGGAAGATCGATCCGCAGGTGGCCTATCAGAAACTGGATGGGATCACCTTCAATATCCTGAATCAGACGAAGATGCTTTTCACCGCTCTCTTCGTGCTTCTCGGCGATCAGCTGGGCTTGAAGGGTGTTGAAGCGAAGCTCGGAGGCCGCCAAGAACTCTCCCCAAACAGCTGAAGAAGGCTCTTTTTGTCTTTTTAAAATTCGCATGCTTTGGACGCCATGGTAGGGAGAGGTGAGGAAGGTTGAGTGGATTTGGGGTCGGGTCTGAGGATGAGGCTGACCGGGGTTTGGCAAGTTGTGCGCGGTCTCCCTTGTGCTACATTCGTTTCTCCTAATGCCTGTGCCTGCAATGCTCAGGTACATCATAGTGGGCCGGCGTCAGTCAGCAGTGCAATGTGTGGCATTGGTTATGCTGGCGGCCGCTGGCATGTTGGTCAGCCTCTCTGAGGCCTCACAGGCAGGAAGTTGAAAAGCAGATACATTGTATGTATTGTCGCAGGCACACGGTCGTCACTATCTCCCACAAGACGGTGTTTGCGGAAAGCCACAACCCATGAACCCGAAACCCTGAACTTCAACACAAAAAATCCGGAGTTCCTCAACCCTATACACCTTCAATCCTCTACCACTCCTAAACGCTAAACCCTAAACCCTAACAGTCCACGAACCCAGAACTCCATCAACCCTAAACCCTAAACCGTTTCCCAGGTCTCCAAGACTCCTAGTACGGCGGAGAGCCTCGCCATAGGCACGTTTTGTCCCTTGGCGGCAAAAGGAGGGTGGAGATGGGTGGAGTAGTTTGGATTGCGGACTCGGTTTGTGGATGTCTTGTGGTTTCGGAGAGCTTTGCAGTTAGGGGCCTGAGAATGTCTTTGCGCGGTCTTGCGTTGCGCAGGCCACAGGCCACACAGGATTCAGAGCTGCCGGGCTGTAGCCTCAATGTCCCTTCCGGCTTACAAGCCCAAACGCCGAAAAGGCATCGAAAAGGCACCGAAGCCCGCAAACCCTAAACCCTAAACCCTAAACCCTAAACAGCCCCGCCCCCAGGTATTCTTCTCGGGTCTGCCCTCAGTGGACTCGGGGGTGCCATTGTCGAGTGGACCTTGCAGCGAAAACGCCGAGACAGCTGCGCGGCACGCCTTGTGAATCGTCACCCTCTACAAAACAGTCCTTCGTTGGGATTATAGTACCCCTCCCTATGATATTTTTTGAGGACTTAATCTACTACATGCTTAAGAACCCGGAAAGAATAACAAGAAAACGAGAAAGGAATCCCCATATTACCCTTAATAAGGAAGAATATTTGTATTTTTGGGGTTCTTAAGCAATGAGTAATGAGTAGTAATAGGGATGAAGAGTACCTCCCCCCCTATTATACAATCTCTATTAATGACTGTTCGTATCAAGGGGGAACATCCCTAAACCCTAAACCCTAAACCCTAAACCCTAGACCCTAGACCCTAGACCCTAGACCCTAGACCCTAGACCCTAGACCCTAAACCCAAATTCTACTGCAAGTATATGTAAGTCTTGCGAGTCCCTCACTGTTGGTCAGCAGGGAATGAGGGAAGTAGGGCTCTACATATTTAGGGTTTAGGGTTTAGGGTTGAGGGTTTAGGGTTTAGGGTTTATAAGGGTTAAGGGTTTAGGGTTTAGGGTTTAGGGTTGATGATATAGGGTACCTCATTCCCCCGCATTTCCCGCTAGCCAAACCGAAGGCGCAGGACAACCAAAAGAACAAACCCTGCATATCTTTGAACGGATGTTTGACATGCACAAAGGCAAAGTCCTAAAGCTGGAGTCCGAACTTGGGGCTCAAGGTCAGGAGCTGTCATCAGACCAAATTGATGCGTCACGCTGAACAGAGTACAGCCCAGGCTACCCTGGCCCGAGGTGGAACTACAGTAACCTTAGTAGTAGAGTAGGTAACCTTTAACCTTTTTGGGTTAATATATTCCCCCTTATATTCCCAAAGGTTAACCTTTAAAACCCCTAGGTACTGGACAACTGAGTAACTATAGCGGTGACTACAAAAGTCCGGGGTCTCACAGCCATCCTTTCTCCGACATAATTAGGGATTCCAAGGAGGTCTCAAGACTGGAGCGGAAATATGTGCGGAAACGAGGGACGCGAAAGAAGTATGTAGCCGAGGGAAGAGGCACGAACTCACCTAGCCGCTATTTGTGACACACAGCAAGTATACGGCGCGTCTGAGGCTACCTCTTCAGCTCAGAGATGGGGATCCTGGGATGTGTCGCGCGGCTTTGTACGTACACGGTCCATGAGGGTGATTGTCTGGAATCCCGCTTGGCTGAGCCGCCGTTGTGCCTGTTGCAAGACAGCCCAGCTGGACCTTCCCTCCAATATCGTGAACTATTGAACAAGAGCCGTATACTTCAAGAACCGCCCCAAACCCTAAACCTAGACCCGAAAGCAGCGGCAGCCCGCTCGAAGCTGCCCGAGGTGATCATTGTCATCACTCACCTGATGAACGCCTCTCCGGGAGACGAAGGCGAGAGATTTAGTGGTTGCAGGCAAGCTAGCTCAAATGCCCCTTAAGCCAGTCATCAAGCAGATTGAGTGGGGAAATGTCGGCATGCCCAATCCCCAGCCTCCGCTTTTAGGGCCTTGGCGGCCGAAGCTCAAGGGTTTAGGGTTTAGGGTTTAGGGTTTAGGATTCCTGAAATGTTCTCAAGCTCAACCTCCACCTGCCAAATCCCCCCTGCCAAATCCCCACTAAGCATTCGGACCAGGACTCTTCCAGAGGTGGACTCCGCGCACCTTCATCCCTGTGTTTCTGGGCAGCCTTTCAGTTCAGGGTTTAGGGTTTAGGGTTTAGGGTTTAGGGTTTAGGGTTTAGGGTTTAGGGTTTAGGGTTCTGAGCCGATGGCTTCAGGGAGTTTGAGGCCTTAAGGAGGGCACACCAGAGATTGCGCCCTCAAACCGCAGATCCTGAAACCTGCCCCGGGCATTCAGCTGAGCCGCACTGCTATATCCCCTAAAGCTCCAAATAGCCCAAAGTAGGTATTATTTATAGACTTTAGACCCCAATGTAGGTAGGATTTGTATACTTGGAGCCCTAGGGATCGTAGAAGAACACGGTGGCCGACGGAATCCGATGAAGCTACGTCATAGTTTTGATGCTACGCGACTCTCGGCCGGCCAGAAGAGGCACAGCAAGAGCGTTTCCAGGATTGCGCGGCAAAGTCCCGCATACGCCTTGTGAGGAGGACCTGGATACCAGAGCGTCCAGCCTTTTGCGAGAGTTGATCCATAGGGTGTCCCAAAATGGGTTGTCTTGGAGGTGAAGTGGAGGGCTGGAAGTGGGGGGGGCGTGCGACAGGAACCTGGATACTGAGCGCCCAGCCTTTCGAGAGACAGATGTTGGTGCACGTGCGAGTACCATAGAAGGTTCAGAGTGCTTCCAGGTAGGTGGGAAACCCTAAACCCTAAACCCTAAACCCTAAAGGTCAGAATGTTGTGTCCGTCCCAAATGGTCGGCCCCAAATGCCTCGTCCTGACGCACCATCCACTCCCGGAGGCCGGTCGGCTGCGAAGGGAGCCGCGTTTAAAAAGGATGGTACAAGGTGGGTTTAGGGTTTAGGGTTTAGGGTTTAGGGTTTAGGGTTTAGGGTTGGTTATAAGGATCCTAAATTATGTTATAAGTCCCTTAACTACAGTTAGTAGAGTAAGGGGGCCCCTCCTTGTAGACCCAGAGACTCCAAAACCCCTTAATGAAGGAACATATGCCTTAAATCATATTTGGGTTCCTCTTAGAGTTTAAGGGATATTCCTTAAGGAATACTACCCTAAATCATATGAGGGTTCCTATTATAATTTAAGGGATATTCCTTAAGTAAGGGGTTTTGGAGTATCTGGGGGGTCCTGGGCCTAAAGTGTCCAGTCCCCGTCCGAGGATTTCCCAAGGCTGGGGCGGCATCGTGGTGGGCTTGATCGCACCTGGGCCCACCTACAAACCAGGACGGGCTATTCTACCCTAAAACCCCTTAAAAAAGGCCCCATATAGGGTTGATTATGGGGATTATAGGGCCGAATAGCCCGTCCTGGAAGGGAGTCTTGATTTCCGATGGGCTTCGGAGTTCAAAAGTTTTGGGGTTGCTTGGGATACAGAGCCAAGTTTTGCGTAGGCTTGGGGCCGTTCAACGCACCTGTCAGAACTGCTGTGAAATTTGATGGCCCCTAGAAAGCTGAGGCAAAAACATCGGGCAGCGTGAAGAAGGGATTCGCGGTAATGGTCGGCCTTATACTGTCTTGTGTGCTGAAGTGGATGGTGGACGGCAACTTGGCTGTTAAATCTTCGTGCGAAGTAGGGCTTGGCGCTTCTCCGTGTTGTGTTGGAACCCAGCGGGTGGGCGTTCATCTGTTAGAGTTTAGGGTTCGGATTTTCGGTTTGGGTCGTTTTTTGAAGGTGTGGCGGCACCTTGGTCCTCTGTCCCCAATCTTAAGCCATCCATCCTGGTCCTCGACTCTGGGTTCTCGGCCCACCCCTCCTCCGGGTCTACCCGCCCCTCGCCCCAGAAGAGTAGATCACGACTTGTATGAACATAGAAACCCTAAACCCTAAACCCTAAACCCTAAAATGTCTGGAATACAACACGCAACGAAGTGTCGAGTCCCCGAACTCAGCCCTTGAAGCCGTTCAAGGCTTCGCAGGATGATGTTCAAAACTTGGATTTGTCAGCCTGGGAAGAATGCCATGCAGTACAGTGCTGAATTGACGCAGCATGGGGATTGGGTCGAATATCTCGACATGCCAGGAAATGCTGCAAATCACAAGAGAAAGTTCCCTCCCACCTACCAAAGAAGCTTCTACCGTTTTGCTCAAGTGCAGCCCTGTCCCATAGAATCGCTTGTACGTGGTGTGTCAAAATATTCAGCCAGTATCCCGGCCTGGACCACCATACATAAACGCGCCGGGCTTAAGACCCCAGAACACAGATCGGGTTTAGGGTTTAGGGCCTAGGGTTTAGGGTTTAGGGCCTAGGGTTTCGGGATCCCAACCGTTCGCAAGAGCTGGCCAAGTCTAGAACCACAGCGGAGGCGAGTCTTTGCATTGGTCCACGATCGTTGCAGTTCCGCTGGTGGCCTCGAGTATCTATCTGCACGCGAAGTATCCTCCTAAGAAGCCTGCAAAGCAGGCGTAGGATTTGCGACCTGGGGGTTTCGAGGCCAGGGTGTGCTGGTTCAGGGTTCGAGCTTGAACGGTGCCTTAGGGTTTAGGGTTTAGGGTTTAGGGTTTAGGGTTTAAACGGTTAAGCCTAAAACACGGGAAGAGACATACCGTGACGTCGGAGCAAGTGGGCGGAGAAGCTCGTCCTCGAAGAAGTTGCAGCCAGCCATTTCTCTCGAAGCGAACCTCCCTATTCCTCCACAATGCAACCCCCCAGCCTTAGTTTCCCCATAGGAACCCTAAACGTCCCAAAAGCTGAAACTCTTAGATCCCCGGAGAGCTGCTTCCTTCTGATGACTTCACTGAGCTTCCGCAAACGAATTAGTCCGAAGGCTTCAGCTACGGCTTAAAGCTGCCGCTTTGATGCAAAGCGATATGCAAAAAAACAACGAGACGTGCAAGGATGTGCAAAATGACGCAAAATCAGCTCTGCACTGCATATAGTGGTTTAAGCGGCAATGTAGGCCAACAGGAGGGATAAAAAGGGCTGAACTGATAAGTCTGACAAGTCATGTGATTTTGCTTTCTGAAATCGTGGCCATGGGGGGGGGGGAGAGAATAGCATCTGCGTTGAGCCTCGGTATCGGCAAAGAAGACTTGCGAGCCCGTGCCGTGCGATTCTTGCCCCTATTCAAAGCCAGGTCTGCTAAACCCTAAACCCTAAACCCTAAACCCTAAACCCTGAACCCTAAACCCTAAACCCAAACTCTCCCAAGGTCCTCATGCCATAACATGAGATCCTCACATGCAGGAGTGCTCAGCAGCTCATGCTGATCGTTGAGCGAAAAGCAAGTCACCTGGCATCTACAGCGCTTATGCAGAGGCAGTTGCGGAGTCGCGAAGAGGGAACGTATATGCGGAAGACGGCGATGCCTTGAATCAACTCTAGCCCCAAATCAAAATCCTGAAACCTGCATGGGCTATACCCTATATAAGACCCCTGAAAAAGGCCCTTCATAGGGTTGGCCAGGGGCATTCTACGGTCTAATCGCCCATGCTGGTAGTGTGGTGCAGTTCGACCCAGCTGCGGAAAACCATCAGCCCTCGATGAGTTCACGTCTGGGGGGCCCGGGCCCGTTAGAAACAAGTGGACCCGAGCCCAGGTGGCAACTACCGCTTTGTGTTTGTGAACTCCTCACCCATTGGCCTGACGCACCATGCCGCTTGCCTGCGTTCTGAGAGGAGTGCAGGGTCTCGCTTTTCGTGGCCCACGAGACATCTCAGAAGAGAGAGCATCGGCTAGAGGCATGAAACACCTGCCGATCGAAAGGAAACGTGCCTTGAAGTGTTGTTTTGCGTTGGGGTGCTGAACCCGAAGCCTTCCACAAGCCTCCCAGAAAAATCATTGTTAAGAGTCTACCTATATCCCCCTTGGGATTTTTTGTTCTTGTTTATATAACACCCAACAGGACATTGAAAATAATATTTTGATTAAAGTTCTAAGGGGAGTATAGCTACAAGGTGGCATCCTTCAGTCTCTGCCACCAGTAGTGCTGCACATCCTGGGCACAGGGTCGCACCGAAAGGCAACTTCTCAGCCTGAACTCTAGGACTCTAAGCCCGGCGTCTAGGGTTTAGGGTTTAGGGTTTAGGGCCTAGGAGTTAGGGTTTAGGGTTTAGGGCTAAGACTCTAAGCCCGGTAGGGTTTCGGGTTTAGGGGTTGGGGTGTAGGGTCTAGGGTGTATTTAGGGTTTAGGGTTTAGGGTTTAGGGTTTAGGGTTTACGGTTTAAGCCCTGAGTTGATCTGCTTTGCTGCTCGTCTCCACTTGCTGGGAAAACTGGCCCCAGGAGCTTAAAACATCTGCTGAGGGACGCCGGGCTTAGAGTCTTAGCCCTAAACCCTAAACCCTAACTCCTCGGCCCTAAACCCTACACCCTAAACCCCAACCTCCCTGAGCTGGAGCTGAGAAACGTAAGCCACTGAGGCCACAGATGCTGGCCGCCCTCCCAAGATCCGGTACCGCACGGCCAGGGCTCCAAGCTTACTAGTTTAGGGTTAGGGTTTGAGGGTTTGAGGGTTTGAGGGTTTGTGGCTTTGAGGCTTTGAGGCTTTGAGGCTTTGAGGCTTTGAGGCTTTGGGGGTTTGGGGGTTTGGGGGTTTGGGGGTTTGGGGGTTGGAGGGTTGGAGGGTTGGAGGGTTGGAGGGTTGAGGGTTTAGGCTCCAATAGGAAAGGCAGGCGATCCATGGTCTTGTCTGAGCACGCCACTGGCTAAGCTACAACCGTCAATGCCCTTCTCCTTCAAGATTCAAGACCGGATTTAGGGTTCAGGGTTTAGGGTTCAGGGTTTAGGGTTTAGAGTTCCCTCTCATATAGACTTGAGCATAACTTACAAGAAGCATGCGTGCTTGAGAAAGGGGGATTTGTGGGTGTTGAGTTTGCGTTGGGTGCATTTGGGTTGACTGTTGTGGGCGGCTGAATTGCTTGGCCTGCCTGGCATTCAGAAAAGAAGACCTTAAACCCGAAACCCTAAACCCTAAACCCTAAACCCTATACCCCAAAGATAACTTGACCAGGCCAAAGCAGCATCTCAGGTTGCCTGCTGGGTCCGCTTTTTTGTGCGAAAGCTTGTTGTCCTTGGCTTGGTAGCCCAGGGGTGCGCTTCTGCCCTTTTTCCCTTGTAAAGTGACCAACCAAAACAAGAGTGCCCTTCCTTAGCAACAGCAAAAACCCACAACTTCGAGGACATCCGAACCACAGAAGCCTGAAGCCTCAAGCCCTCCGAACCCAGAAGAACCTTTAAACAAGAATCCGCCAAATGAAAGCCCCAAATCCCCAAACCCCCCAAGCCGAAAAGGCCTTCAACCTAAACCCTAAACCCTAAACCCTAAACCCTACACCCTAAACCCTAAACCCTAAACCCTAAACCCTAAACCCTAAACCCTAAACCCTAAACCCTAAAACTCAACTGAAAGCTCAGCAGGCCCTGGAACTCGAGGATGTCCCGGCCTCCCGGGCCGAGGACGAGGGCTTCTGGATGATGCTGGTGGGGAGCTTCAGTGGGGGGCTGCCACAAAAGGGGGGGGTTTAGGGTTTAGGGTTTAGGGTGTAGGGTTTAGGGTTTGGGGTTTGGGGTTTGGGGTTTGGGGTTTGGGGTTTGGGGTTTGGGGTTTGGCAGACTCCCTAGCTTGCCTGTCCGGCACGTACAGCATGGTTTCTGGAAGCTTCTGAGTTTGGCTCAGCATGTCGCGAGGATGACAGACGATACCCTAAACCCTAAACCCTAAACCCTGACCCAAACAGAAGAGCTTGAGGGGCGAGGTGTCGGGGTGAGGATTGGAGTAGGAACCTGAGTACGGTTTCAGACCAAAGCGTGTTGCTGCCGTCCACTGCGCTTCACCAACTCAAACAAGCAAGCCTGGAGCATCCTTCAAGCGGGACAAGCTGGGTAACATGATACAGTAGCACACGATTAAGTCCGGAGCCCATGTAAAACCCGATGCTCCCCAGCTTTTGAAAGCTTTTGAAATTCCGGGAGTCCCTATACCAGGTTGTGACTGCCGTGCAGCCTTCCAGCGAGGGGCTGGCGTTGTATGACAAGCTTCTTGGTTCAGATCGAGTTCCAGCAAGAGGGTGTCCAGAGGGTGTGGAAGGTTTCTTGAAGGCTCATCCTGGATGCGTGCTCCTTGGACTTGAGCACCCTAACTTAGAGCTTGCGATGAAGGTCTCAGAGCTGCGGCTTTCCGGACCACCCTAAACCCTAAACCCTAAACCCTAAACCCTAAACCCTAAACCCTAAACCCTAAACCCTAAACCCTAAACCCTAAACCCTGCAATTGGCAATGCTTTGGGGCCCAAGTTGCTCAGCCTTGGGTTTGATAACGGCTCGGTTTGGCCAAATGCAGTTCCAGGAAATTGCGGTGGGCATTGGAGCAAGCTTTGAGTCCGAACTAAACCCTAAACCCTAAACCCTAAACCCTAAACCCTAAACCCTAAACCCTAAACCCGGCCGAAACCCTAAACCCTCAAGATTCACCGCCTGGGTCGTGGTGATCGACCAGGCCCAGCAACTACCCCAGGAGACCTGAAGCGTCTAACGGCATCAGTAGTTGCAGAATGGAAGAGGGCAAGCATTAAGTAAATTCCACCCTAAACCCTAAACCCTAAACCCTAAACCCTAAACCCTAAACCCTAAACTTCAAGGCTGCAAAGAACTAAGGCTGCTGCCTTGGCTCGGCGGTGCGCCACTGGAGCATGCTGCTGGGTGGACCTCTTTCTGTAGAATGTTGACAAGCTTTGGGGTTTAGGGTTTAGGGTTTAGGGTTTAGGGTTTAGGGTTTAGGGTTATGGGGGACAATCCAATTCGAGGTTTCAATTTTTGAGAGTCCGGGTGTTTGGGACTTCGTACAGTAGCTGAGTAGATGACCTTTGACCGTTTGGGTTGTTTTCCAATCCCACCATAATTGAAAGGTTAAGGTCTTTTGGGCCAGGGTACTCAGCAACTAGGGGGAAAGATTGAGGAACAACTAAACCCTAAACCCTAAACCCTAAACCCTAAACCCTAAACCCTAACCCTAAACCGAGATTCTTTGCACAGCCTCCCCATCCACCTCTGCCACGTCGGAGTGGCGTTCGCCACAATGCTCCTTCCCTGCGATCAGACATGCCACCATTCAGCCACGTGCCTTATAATAACTAGTATTAATATTTTCTTACTATTAGTTTTATGAATAATATTATCAATATTTCTAGTACTATTATGAATAATATTCTTAAAATTATTACTGTTATTCATATTGTTAATATTACTATTAGTTGTGGTCGAGCTATTGCACCGCTTTTAGCTCTGGCAGCTTCAGCAGGGCGTTGCAGCATTATGTGCTATACGCTTCCTGGTTGGGATGTTCCCCCTTATCTCGATGTTAAGGGTTTAGGGTTTAGGGTTTAGGGTTTAGGGTTTAGGGTTTAGGGTTTAGGGTTTAACAGTGCCCCCTATTATCATCCCTATTGAGGACAGTTAGTATAAAGGGGAAATGCATGGACCTAAGGTGCAGAGACCGATGGATGGAGGTACCTGACCTTCACACTGCGCGTGCTGCTGCTTGAGGCTGGATGGTTTGGGGTTTGGGGTTTAGGGTTTAGGGTTTAGGGTTTAGGGTTTAGGGTTTAGGGTTTAGCGTTTTAGGGTTTAGGGTTTAGGGTTTAGGGTTAAGTATTCTGCCTTCAGCAGGAAAACCAAAGCAGTCAAAGGCAGCCTAAACCCTAAACCCGAGAGAGAGCACCACTCTCCCGGGTGCGCAACTTGCTTGGAGGGGAGCCGCCTCCCAAACTCTATACCCGAACATGGTCCTAGCATAGCCTACTGGTACCTTTTTGTTGCCTTCTTTGTTGGTTCAAGGTTCCCTTCCAAAGTTAGAACACGGTTCCGTGGCTACCAAGATTAGTTTAGATGCCACGATTGAGGTTTCGAGAACTTGTGTAGGATGGCTTGAGATGTTCCCCTTTTTTTCTATCAGTCCTTAACAGGGATGATAGTACCCCCCCAATTTTTAACCCTAAACCCTAAACCCTAAACCCTAAACCCTAAACCCTAAACCCTAAACCCTAAACCCTAAACCCTAAACCCTAAACCCTAAACCCTAAACCCTAAACCCTAAACCCTTTCCCTATTAAGGGCCGTTAGTACAAGGGAGAGCATCCCAAAAAGGATGGCAGCTTTTGCAGTTTTTGCAGGTCGCCGGCTTCTCCACTTCGAAGGTGCGGAGGGCGCGAGTCGCATCATGCAGGGTTTAGGGTTTAGGGTTTAGGGTTTAGGGTTTAGGGTTTAGGGTTTAGGGTTTAGGGTTTAGGGTTTAGGGTTCAGGGTTCAGGGTTTGGGGTTTGGGGTTTAGGGTTTAGGCTTTGGGGCTTTGGGGCTTTGGGGCTTTTGGGAGGCTCCCCCAAAGGAGCGCCTGCTGGAAATGTAAGGACCTTCGCCCCAAACCTAAAACCCTAAACCCTAAGCCCTAACCCTAAACCCTAAACCCTAAACCCTAAATCCCTGGCTGCAAAAAAGGCCAAGCTGCTGAAGTGGCAGCTGCGGGAGCAGCTTCTGGCTTTTGCAGCCACTGCCACTTGGACATCGCTAGCTCAGGGCGTCGAGCTGGGCGAAGGGCTGTCCGAGAATTGCCAATGCTTTTAGGGTGTAGGTTTTGCAGCGTTTCGGTTTTAGGGTTTAGGCTTTGGGGTTTAGGGTTTGGGGTAGGGATGCTTTGCCAATGCGCTGCCCTTCTCAAGGACTTGGCACAGGCGCGCTCGCTGTCGGTGTCTGAGATGCTCGCCCAGCAGATGGCAACAGTTAATAATCGGAATAAATAATTTCTAGTAGCATTCCCTTATGGTCCCTTTATATAATTGTGCTAGAAAACCCCCCCAAACCCTATGCTAATTCTTAAGGCCCCTATATCATGCTGCTTTCTTGGGTCGGCATCGGGTGCACGGTTGGCAGGCGCCGCTGTCATGTTCTCAGTTGAACGCTGCGGGTTCGAGAGAACCACGACGTTTCTTGGGCCCACAATCCATCCCCGAACCGGTTGCTGAGTTTGGCACAGCCTTGCTTCCACCAGCAAAGTAAACTCGGCAGGTATGCTGACTCCGACGACCTACGTCTTGTTTAAAGAGAAGTCAAATCCTCTGAGAACCATGTAGGTGCACTTAACGATCAATCAAGCAGAGCTTTGAGAAGCAAGGAAGCGGTTGCTTCGCCTGGGTCTTTCGCAGCGGCTTGGCCGACTTTTCTGGAAGCCCGGTGTGGTTCTAGGGCCACGGTTTCTTTTGGGGCCTGAGTCATGAGAATGGTGTCGAAGCGTCAGTTTGTGCAATGCGCTGGTGTGTGGAAGCCTAGCAGCAAGGCTGTCCTTTGCTGCAGTGAAGACAAGCGGCATCATTGAGATCGAGGCAGCCAACGGCAATCAGGACAGACGTCAGTCACGCAGTATAGTTACATCGTGTAAGAGCATGTGGCGTCCAGGGACATAAAAGGGTCCGGCCTTGGACCCTCAAACATGTCGTGAGTCAGCTTTGGCAGGAGGGCGTGGCCATCGCCAAAGCAAAATCGATGGAGGTGCTGACACAGGCCTGACTCATCGAGCACTTCTGCCGCGTTCCGTCCGTCGTGCAGGAGTTAGGGTGCAGGGTCTGATGCAGAGGCCCAGAAAGCTGTGGCAGACATTGAAGCTGCGATTGAACGGAAGCCGCGGCCATACGGCTTCGAGGACGTGCCTTGCCTTGCACTTTCCATGTCAACCCGAGTCAACCGGTCAACCTTCAACCTTGCCAAAGTGTAACAGCAGTTGGCGCGCCGTGCAGATAAGTTGGAGCAGCCGCTCCCACTTTTTGTTTGCATGGGTTCAAAACCTTGTTGGACATTGCAGGCCCTTATCTGCAACCCTCGGCCCCTGGCTCTTGAAGTTACTGATCCCGAGATGTCGGAATAGCACAAGCCATCCCAATGTGCCCTAAACCCTAAACCCTAAACCCTAAACCCTAAACCCTAAACCCTAAACCATGGTCAATGACATAATATGGTGGCAGAACTCATCCGAGGAGTAGTGAGTTATCATGTGTCATCTCGGGGTCGGAACCATTACGGATAGTATTCCCTTTTGGTCCCTTCATATTTATGCCATAGTGTCCCCCTTTTGGCCCTCTTCTAATTATTAAAACCCCTCTAGTACATTCGCTTGCCCCGGAAGTCAAAGACAGCAACCCCCCTAAACCCGAAACCCGAAACCCTAAACCCTAAACCCCCCACGCATGAGAGACCACGGCAGCCTGGACTGTTCCCAGGCATCGGTACTGCCACTTCTGGATCTGCAGCAGGGAGCCGATGAAGCGCCAGCCGAGGTGCGATGTAGAACGGTTTAGGGTTTAGGGTTTAGGGTTTGGGGTTTGGGGTTTAGGGTTTAGGGTTTAGGGTTCGGGTTTAGGGTTTAGGGTTAGGGTTTAGGGTTTAGGGTTTATGTGAGTCGATGCAATTGAGGTACAGAGTCTGGGTTCTAAAGGGTGAACTTGAGCATAAAGAGAAAGTTTACACGGGATGCGCTCGAACGATGCCGCATACAACCCTAAACCCTAAACCCTAAACCGATTGGGCTACAAACCCTCAAACCCCAATGCTGCGAACTCCGAAGGACTGGGGGCTCCACCCCTTCTTCGAAAGACTGCTAAGGCTCAGTGGGGGTTTAGGGTTTAGGGTTTAGGGTTTTGCGTTCTAGAGTTGCAAGAGAGTCTGGGACAGCGTCAACGGCTCTGATTCAAGCTGTGTTTGGGTTCAGGCTTTGGGTTTGGCAAGCGGCATGAGCCTCCGGGGTCCAGCGTTTCAGATTCAGGGCGACGGTTTCGCTCGTTTAGGGGGCACGCACTTGGCGTGGTGGCCTGTGTTGTCAGCCACGGCACAGTGGTGGAACAAATTTTGTGGCCGACATCTACCTAGGCGGCAAACAAAACAATCCGATGCTACAATCTGCAAGCCAGGGTTCTCTCTGAAACCCCGGGCATCGAACTCCGTTCTTGCCGTTGCCAGGGAGCAGCGCAGCCCGGGGCAAAAGGTGGGCATCCCACTGCTGGTGCCGATCAACCTCCTGGCTATGCCGGACCTCATTTGCAAGTGCTTTTGCATTCGTGCAGTATTTTTTCATGGCGGCACTTACCACCAGTCTACTGTAGTGGAAGTGGCAGTGCTGTTGTTGGTGCTACTAGTGCTGCTGCTGCCGCTGCTACTGTTGATTGCTCGGCTGGGAGATCTTGATGGTTCGCTTGCGTGGGTCAGTTACTTGAAGATTCATGAAACTGATGCCAGGTGCGACAGACGTAAACATAGCTGTCGGGACATGGTGCACATGTATTAGCTGCTATGTGGACAAGTTCATGGATAAACTTTCGAGCTAGATGCAGTTGCAATTAGTTCATTACCCGTCTCATGCAACGGATGAAAATTGTAAACGCCAACTCCTAACCCGAAAGGACGCTGTAACTGCATGGGGAGGGACAGGGAGGCAGAGGGAGAGAAACGGCATGTGCGCGGGGGTTCAGGGGTGACCCTGCCCCAGCACAGGAAGAAGACAGTGAGAGAGACTCTTGGCGCGACCCCGTGCTGTTTATGCAGGCAGGAAAGGAAGGAAGGAAGGGAGGGAGGGAATGGAGAGAGAGAGAGAGAGACTGTGGTCGCGAAGTCTTGCCTGATTTGCGTGATAGGAGAGCATTCAAGACCTCGACGCTGCGATTCGAGCCCTGCGGTTGACAGAGGAGTGCTTAGGGTTTAGGGTTTAGGCGGTTTAGGGCAGCGCACTTTCTGGCTGCTGGTTCTCAGGTCTTTGGTGGGGTAGCGTTGCAGCCTGATGCCTTTGACACCCTTTTCAAGACGGATCATGCTTGTTTAGCGCAAAGGGTATTGAGTCTGCACTGTTGCCGAAGTTTGGATTACAGCCAGTTTCAATCTGTCATTCGCGTCACACATTCGACAGCCAAATGCAGGAGCTGTGTGCGAAGCTATGCTTCGTGGGGAATGAACGCTGCAAGCTTCCTGAATGATCCTAGATGTCCTGCACGGCGCGAGCAATATTGCCCAACGCGCGCACCAGGAACACGTTCTCAGGCACGTGAGATATAATGTTCAACAGGCACAGACGTGCTTTGAAGGGAAGGTTTGGGCTTGGCAGAAGGTACATTGTACATTCCCTAAACCCTAAACCCTAAACCCTAAACCCTATACATGGAATCAGAAGCCAGGATAGGCACGACTGGCCCCACAGTCGCTTCACGTTGCACAAGGAAAGCACATGGCAGCAGCTGGTGATTTGTGGGGTGTCGGCCTACTGCACTATCTGAGCTGTTGTGAAGAAGTTCCAGGTTCTCAAACTTTCTGCGCGTGGCGTTGCTGCAGACGCTTGGACAACTTACTCACACGGGAGTTGCCAGCGTCTGACTTGGGAGTTGTGGCTCGTGGTTCAGCATGTGCCCAAGTAGCTTTTTATGTGCCCAGTGCGCCAAGACTGTCGGTCCCTTCGTCAAAGTGTCGAAGGCATGGTGCAATCGACCAGGACATTATGCAATCAACACATAAATGCCTTACTACACATGTCAACTTGCAAAGTATTCGAGGAACCTATTAACCAGCCGCGGCCCAAGGCATGTCTTTACTGAGCTCATTCCGCTTCCTTTGGGCCCCATCGCCCAGAAGCCGCCACTAAACTTGACAGACCCAGCCGCTTCCTCAGGAACTGAATCTTGCAGATGCCTTATCAAGCATGGCTTTTGATGTATTTCGATGTTGGCTCATGCTGCATCCATCCGGAGACTGCGAGGTACTAGCTGGCAGTTTCATGTTATCTACACTTTCGCCAGAACCGATGCGATTTCAGAGTCTAGCTCGGAGTTGAAGTAGAGCCAACGGCGCTAACGAGCATAGCCAAACAATCCCTGGCTTCGCCTTTAAAATTACAGGAAGTTAGGCCACTGTGTAGTTGGGATAGGCACGTCCGTGCTACCAGACCATCCATTGGCCAGAGCACAACCGCACACTAAGAAAGCTCAACACGCGCCGCGTAGATTGGCTCACCCACATGCACTGCACCCGGGACACGGCTGGAGGCCTGCCCCTTTACTGTGAACCGTGGAAGTCTAAACCGGTCATTGTTTTTGATGCAAATCATTGGGGAGAAAAAAACATGGAAGGCGTTACCGTCCAGCGTTCATTGGGGGTAAGCGGGTTTGTAACGCAGCGTGCCCGTAGCATACGCATGAAACCAAGGGGTGCGACACATGTAGGGACGCACAGCCTGGTGGTGCTGTATGCCGAAGATGGCAAGCGAATTGTTGTAATCACCTTGCGTTCATTGGGGATTCCAAACGAACACTGGATTTCAGCTGCTTTGCCAGGACCAGGTTGACCCTAGCGTTCCTTCGGGAAATTGGGTTTGTACCATGCTTTGGTGCTGTCTAAAAGGCACTCCGCCCACAGCGTTCATTGGGGAACTCGGATTTGGTAATGTTTTCTTCGCCTTCGCTTGAACCGGTGCGTTCATTGGGGTTTAGATGTGTTGGGTATGGGTGGTTTCGACTTTCAGTGCCGCCTGTAGGGTTTAGGGTTTAGGGTTTAAAGTCCAGCAGCCAGTACCGAGGTCTGGGCTCCGAATGGTCCGAGTGGCCTACACCCTCAACTGACGCGCGGTGGGCAACTGGAGCTGATGCAGGCGCCTAATTTTTGCGAAGTTGGGGGCACTCCTTGAACCCTTGGTCTGGAAGCGACGACTCAAAGTGTTGCGTCATTTGGCTTGTTTTGTCGACGTTTGGGGACGTTCAGGCTTTTCGTACATGATTCCAGCCCATTCAGGTCTTGCTTCGCCTGGCCGAGCATTTCGTGTCAGCCAGCTGTGGGCTGAAGGAGCTCAACCACACACAACCCCATGGCCACAGTGTCCCTCTCTAGTAAGTATGGCATCGTAGTGTGCAGATTGTGCAGTGATGGCCCTTTGCCCAGCAGACCCATTAAGCCACAGAGTACTCAGTAAGTCAGATGAAGGAGTCCAAGGGCTTCGATGGCGTCAAGATCGTTGTCCTGGGCGCCTTGCCTTGGGTCTGCTGATCGTTGGGCGGCGAGGTTTGGTTCGCTGCAAGTTTTGTCACAGGCAAATTTCGCCAGAGAATCGAGAGTCCACAAGGTGCAATCGCTGCCCTAGCCGATCGAGTCCTTCGCATCCGCACAGCACCTTTGGGGCATTTGCTGCACATAGCACCAGCAACCCACTGCTGCTGAGTCATGCGTCTAACTGCCTATGGCCTAGCTGCTTAGAGCCCCTCTGTCTCTGTATCTCTCTCTCCCTAAACCCTAAACCCTAAACCCTAAACCCTAAACCCTAAACCCTAAACCCTAAACCCTAAACCCTAAACCCTATATATATATATATATCTCTCTCTCTCTCTCTCTCCCTCTACTTTTTGAGAGTTAGAGTCTCCATATTATGCATGCTTTCAGCCTTTCAGCTTGGGCAGGCCTCTGCTTTTCTCAAGATGCCATTCTTGATTTCTTTGTGAACGAAAATCCATTCATGCGCTGGAAAGCTCTCATCCAAACCCTAAACCCTAAACCCCAAGCCCTAAGCCCTGGAAACCTGGGGAAACAAAAATAAAGCAAAAAACAACAAGGTGCTGCCAGCCTAAACCCAAGGTGCTGCCAGGAATCCCGAAGCCTCAGAGCGATGGCCCCATTGAGGCACGCAAAAAACTTTGTGGTCAGGGTTTCGGGTTTAGGGTTTGGGGTTTGGGGTTTAGGGGTCTTCCGGCAGCTTCCTCAGTCCGTGCTTAAAAAAGGGGTCTTCAGACAATGTGGTGCCACTTGGCTCCAGTGCATCCCCCTAGCCCCCTGAAGACACAGGAGCCATACTTAATCATCGGCTAGGTGGGTGGCATAGAATACTTACCCTAAACCCTAAACCCTAAACCCTAAACCCTAAACCCTAAACCCTAAACCCTAATCATCCTACAACAGCCAGAAACGCGCCCTACAGTACTTTCGGGGAGGCCGAGCAGGAGCCCCACCCCAGCATTGTCTCCGAGCTACTGAACGGCGTGGGCGGGAAGAACTGGAAGCCCTGCTACTGTAGGTTTAGGGTTTAGGGTTTAGGGTTTAGGGTTTAGGGTTTAGGGTTTAGGGTTTAGGGTTTAGGGTTTAGGGTTTAGGGTTTAGGGTTTAGGGTTTAGGGTTTAGGGTTTAGGGTTTAGCTCCCATCTACGGGCGCATCGGGTTCCAGGGTTTGTCTAGTTGGAAGTGGTTCGTTGACTGCTGGTTTTGTCGGGCTGCAGAAACTGCAGTTCACCCTAAACCAGAACAACCCTTAAAACCCTATAAACCCTATCAACCCTATAAACCCCATCAACCCTACCCTATAAAGGCTCTAAACCCTAAAGCCCTACAAACTCAGAACCCTGAATCAAAGAGCTGAGGAAGGCTCTGGCGGTGGACCCGACCTCCTTCATGCGGCAGTCTGAGACGATCGAGGCGCCCCTTTTGGGGGGCTCTCGTTTCACTTTTTGAGTGGGGTCGGGAGGTTACGAAATAAGGGACCCCGAAATGTACCCCTAAATCGTGGGACTCCCTTAACGAAGGACCTCGATAAGGTACCACTACTATCGTAAACCCCAACATTGCTTGGATACAGAAAGTCTCCATAGGGTGGAATTCTGAAGCCTTCCAAGAGCCCCCTGAAAGGCCACCACGCCCGAGATCAGCGTGGCACGAACGTCTGTGGCCAGCTACTTCACTGAGGCCAGATCCCGGGCAGGACTGGGGCGGAGGGGCATCGTATTCCGGCAAATGAGACTGGAAACCTAAACCCCAAACCCTAAGCCCTAAACCCTAAACCCTAAACTCCATGACGCCCCAGGTCAAGAAGAGCTTGGATGTGCCAAGCGGCAAGGACCGTACCCTCTTCGACTGGGATCAGCACGGTTGGATGATGTGGGTCTCCAAGGAAGCAGGCGGATCAGACCCTAAACCCTAAATTTAACCCGAAGGAGCTGACAGTGTGCTCATGTCTCCAGTTCATGAGGCATATGTCTGCTCCGGTCAAAGCTACAGCCCCCAGCCCTCCAAAGTTCAAAAGTCAAAAGTGTAAGTACCAATGGCTTGCGTGCTTGAGTTCAGGCTGCTGTGCCCTAAGAGCCCCACCAGTGTCCCTAAGTTCCATTGTGGTGTGCGGTGTGTGTACTTGGGTTGTCTCGGTTCCCCGAACTAAGGGTTTAGACTGGTTCAGGCCGGGCTTGGGGTTGTACTGCCTCAGGTGGTTCGTTGCGTAAAGAAGCTTTGGGGATGGGTGGTGCTCGGAGGTGGGTAGCGCAGTCTAGCATGCCCTTTCCCTGGGCAGGTCTGAAGAAATTCGTCCAGGCAGGCCTGGGCAATAGCGAAGACCAGCTAAGATATGCATCCCGAAGCCCATTTCGGATTGGGGGTTAGGGTACAGGGTATAGGGGGCAAAAACACCTAAACCCTACAATTCCGCTACAACAAAAGGGGACGCTGGCGACTCCCTTGGCTGGGACGACTTCAGGGCAGACCAGTGGGACTGGCTGGCAATCCTTTGGCCTTCCGAGCCACCTTCTTGACGCTTCATGTGGGTGCTATGCCTAGACCCTAAACACCCTAAAACCTAAACCCTCCTGTGCAGGGGGCTTTAGGTGATGAAAAGTGCTAACCCCACCTCCAGGCCATTTGCGCCACCCATCTGCTCCAAGCTGGGGGCGACTGGGCACAGCTCGCTGCAGGCGCCATCGCCGGTGGTTTTGGAGCTTTCGCAGCTTTCACCTGTCCTGTCTGCGATGCTTAGAGGCTAAGAGGGACCAGTCCCAAAAAAGGAGCCCACTAGAGTGCCCACGGAACATGAAGTGCCTGGTCGAGAAGTGGCCAAAATTTGGGCCCTTCAGGTAAGGCGTCGGGGTGCCTACAACCCTGATTGTCAGACCTGGAGTATCAACATGTGAACATCAGTCAAGTCCGAGACAGAGTACAGGAAAACATGCAACCAAACCCAGGATTAGCGCTCGATCTCACCAGAAGCCGAACCCGCTCCTGACTTTGCCAGGTGCCGACCCATACTTGGCCGCTTCCCTAGATTCGTATTGCAACGTACTGCAACAGCCGAGAGCCCTAGAAGAGCCCGTAGCTCGTGGCGACTTCCGGTGAACAGGATGTTCCCTCAGATGAGCACACCATAGAATGGCCTTAGGTGGCCCGAACCTCCAAACCCTGCAAGGGGGCTAAATTTTGACGATCCCGCTCAGAGGCCCAAGCCCGAAGCAACCTCCCCGCAAGCTGCCTAAGCTCAAAAGGCAAGCTGAGTTTTTCGGTTGAGGATTTTGAAGGTTTCAAGAAGAAGTGAAGAACAACACAGCCTGGAACAGCAATTTGCGGGTGTGGTGCCGACATTTGCTTGTGATGCATGCAACATCCTGCAGTCGGAAAGATGCTACTTGGTGTTTAAGGTCCACACGTGGCCCGAGTATCAATGCCGCTGCGATTGCAATCTGTAAGAGAGGTTCTGTTGACTCCAACTCAGCACTTCGTTCTTAACGCCAGCCTTAAGCGTGAGGTTGTGTGATATTCAAGTCATGTTAAGCGTGCGGAGAGACTGCGCATGCTTGGGCAGTGCTTGAGAGGTTACCGCGACATTATCTTCTACTGGAAATACTTCCTGTGCACGGACCTCCGCGTGTTCCCCAAGTGCAAGGCCACCAGTGTCGTTATGTTTTGGATGCTAACGGGTGTCATCGCTGTGCTACCACTTCGATGCCTCGTTGCATCTGATGTAGGCAGCGGCAGCATGACCTGGGCTTGTAAATCCACCAAACATTGCTGTGATTGTGATTTGGCGTCCTTTATCAGACATCCTTTCCCCTAAACCCAAAACCCTAAACCCTAAACCCACCAGTTGTGAAACTGGTGGACTGGTGGTGTTTAGGCTATGGTTGGCCCGTCGTGTTGTTGCGACCTCCCTGATAAGGGGTGACCGGCGTTCAGTTTCCCAGTCGCCCGGCGGCGTTGCCTGAGAGGGTCAGCTAGGGGCGGCCAAAAAAAACCTACCATTCCGGGCTATAAGGAGGGACCCCCTAGAATGGACCCTTAATCTTATTCCCCTATATGACTCCTATATATATATATATGGGTACCCATATATATATATATATACGTTTAACCCTGTCTACCTTTAGTTCTTTGATGCCAGGAGCTCGCACCACAGCTGGCCTACCTCAAATGGCAAGTGGTTGACGAGCAGAAAGCTTACGGCTGCCCTCCCAACCGAGGCGCTTCATCCGAAAAAAAAGAAAACCCTAAAGCTCCAAATAGCCCCGAGTAAGTATTATTTATGGACTTTAGACCCCAATGTAGGTATTATTTGTATACTTGGAGCCCTAGGGAAAGACTAGAGGCGAAGCACTTACATGTGCGCTTCGTTTCTTGTTCGTTTTGTTTCTTTGGGAGGGGACGGGGGGGAGGGTGTGCTGCTTGGCACAACGTTGATGCCTTGCATCCCTGAAGCACATCAAATCCCAAACAAGGCCGAGAACCCTAAACCCTATAAACCCTAAACCCTAAACCCTAAACCCTAAACCCTAAACCCTAAACCCTAAACCCTAGAACCCTAACCCCTAAAACCCTAAGCCCGCGTCTGACGCGCCCAGGCAAGGTCTTCATGGTGCAGGGCTTGGGCAAGGCGCAGCTCCCCGAAAAACGAAGAGAAAGCCGCCCATGTTAGGCTGTGAGGTGCCAGGCTTTGTCCCTAAACCCTAAACCCTAAACCCTAAACCCTAAACCCTAAACCCTAAACCCTAAACCCTAAACCCTAAGCTCGGTCACCTTTATGACTTAGATTTCCCGTTGGCGCATCACGGGCCAGAGCAGTAGAACCCAGCACCTCGGGGCTGGAACCCAAATCAGGACCACTTGCTGAAGCACGACACGCCCCCGCACCGCCCAAAGCCACCAGCGTCTGGTTTACGCTGGCCGTCGGCCACTTTCGCTCAATGGAGGGGAATTGCCGAGGGGCACTGGAAACTGAGGTTGAGGTATGTTGAGACCTCAGGCATTCGGATTCAAGAGGGATGTTGGACGAGCAGAACGGGATTTTGGGTTGAGGCTCTTAGAGTCCTGGGAGAAGACCAAATACTTTAATAATGAGCGTTCTACTCAAAAAGACAGTGGACTACAGCAAAGTATATTCATCATCGCTTCATTGTCATGCGAACAAAGTCGTAACACCTCTCATTCTTGCGCTCCCTGTAACATCTGTTCAGGCGGAGAGTCTTCACGAGGGTTTTGTCACCATCTCTTTATCCACTCCTAAATCGGTGTGACAAGCAATGACTGTGCGGTTGGACAAGATTCGCTCGAACTGGCAAGGCAGGTTTCAAGACAAACCCTAAACCCTAAACGGGCAGCTATGCGGGAGCGCAAAAAAAACACTAAACCCGAAACCGTAAACCCTAAATAACCCCCATGGTACCTTGGCACGAATGCTTCCCTGGGCTTTCTAGAGACTTGCACGCCGGCACCACCCTCGTGACCCCACATCACTTCCCGCTGCCTCCTCGAGACCCTGCTCACGGGTTAGGGTGAGAGTTTAGGGTTTGGGGTTTGGGGTTTGGGGTTTGGGGTTTGGGGTTTAGGGGGGTTAGGGGGTTTAGGGGGCTTAGGGGTTTAGGATTTGGGGTTTAGGGCCTAGGGTTTTTTTCTGGATTATCTTGTTCATCAGTATCTTGTCAACCAAGGAGAAAAAACCAGGAATGATACGAGTCGTGGTGTTTCATTCCGACTCCTGAAAACCCATCCTATCAACCAGCTTTGCCTTTGATCACATATGAAAAACCCTAAACCCTAAACCCTAAACCCTAAACCCTAAACAAGCCCGCATCATGAATGGAATGACCTCTCAAGGCAGTTCACGCGCTACTTCTCGAGGGTTTGTTCGCACACGTGCACCCTTGCCATGAATTCGATTTAACATGTATCTTTGGGTTTAGGGTTTAGGGTTTAGGGTTTAGGGTTTAGGGGCGGTTGGTAAGAGCCGCATTGCAGGAGCCTAACTGTTCCTCTAGTGAGCTGCTTGCGGTTACGTTGGTGCGGCACACTTTGGTGCAGCACATAGCACCCTAAACCCTAAACCCTAAACCCTAAACCCTAAACCCTAAACCCTAAACCCTAAACCCTAAACCCTAAACCCTAAACCATGCAGTTCAGCTATGCGGGCGGCAAAAAAACCCTAAACCCTAAAGCCGCCGCGCCTGTCTAGGCCCGGGGGCCTCTCAAGTTCACCTGTGGCAAAGCACTCCCAAACCTGCCAATCGAGGCAGCGCTGCCCTCACATCACACAAAGACCCCCGTGAGCGCATGGGATGCAAGTTCAGAGGCATTTCCTAAATGAGTGTTAGGGATCCCTTTTTGCTTTTTGGGTTATGGGCTTTCTTATGTATACACAAAAAGGATCCTTTTTTCTTCCTAGGGGAACAGGGATTAAGTTCGGGATGGGCGTTTTTTTTTGGGACATCCTGGGTTTCTGGCATCTGGCCATTTTGCCAGGCTTAAGGCCTGATCGTGAAACCCTAAACCCTAAACCCTAAACCCTAAACCCTAAACCCTAAACCCTAAACCCTAAACCCTAAACCCTAAACCCTAAACCCTAAAAGAAAAGCAGTTGAATCCAGGAGGTTGCTTTCGGGTCCGATCGTAGCAGGACTTGCGGCTTGAGCGTTGATACTGGAACGTCCTTTCGGTGAGGTGTGCAGGAACGTGTTTAGGGTTTAGGGTTTAATCCCTTAAGGGATTAGGGTTTAGGGTTTAGGGTTTAGGGTTTAGGGTACGTGTCTGGCGTTCTCCGGAACTGCAGTCTCGGGACGGAACAGCCGAAGTTCGGTCTCGGAACCTTCGCCAGGGGAAGGTTCCGAGGTCCTCATCGCCAGCGGAAGAAAAGTGATGCCAGACCGTGAACATTTGGCTGCCTTTGTCATCTAACCTGGAGAAGGCTCTCGGCACTAGACATTGAAGAGTTTTTGAATCCGCAACCCATCTTGGCAGCCAAGTGGGACCCTGTTCTCTTCTTCTGGGTTCAAGGTTCCTCATAAAAGTAACCCCCCCCAAATGAAAAAGGTACCCTCTTACTACAATGCATATGGTTTCTCGGCTACCAAACCCATCGCAACCCGTAACCATCCCCCAAAGTCAACAAAAACGGAGCAAAGAATCTGGCAGGGAGGGAAGACTGGCAGCCCCAGTTCCAGGCGAACGCCTCTACTTGGAATGTACACCCCTGAAGTACCCTAATAGGGTTACAATTGGGTTCTAAGTACAGTTATAATTGGGTTGCTAAGTGCCATGACCCTCCAAGTAGATCTCTCGAATCCCAGGGACGGAAGACGATCTCCTGTACATGCGGACCCTGCCAACGTTCAATGAGATGCTCCGGGCATCAGACTCGGAGGCGGGATTCTTTTGTTTTTTGTTTTGTGTTGTTCCCCCTTTTTTGGGTTTGCATAGGAAAATGCAAGGGGTCAAGGGGTTTGTTATTGGGGAGGTGGAAAGGTGTTCGCGGGCTGGCATGCAAGGCTTAGTCTTTTAGTTGCATGATCAGCACTTGAGGCGAAAGGATGTCTTGAAAGTAGCAGGCAGCGGAACTGTTCGGGTTGCGTGATGTTGTTGATCCACGAGTCCATATCTGAGTGTGTGGGTTTATACCTATCTTCTGAGAAAGCTTTGCTTCTTGTCGCAGGCTCTGCTTTCGTTCCTGACGGTGCCCTACATCAGGACTGGGATGTGATTGGGATGTTGAGGGGCCTTGTTCACGCTGATAGAGGTGGCAAAGTTCTTCCCACCTTTCTCGAACAACATGGTACGACATACAAACTTCAGCATGATGCCTGCATCTCCTGTAGTTGCAACCCACAGCCTCCGAGACCCGAGACGCCACAACTTTGGCAACGGCCCCACCCTCTTCACCCTCCCTGAAGAGCTCTGACATGCTGGGCCTATCCCTAAACCCTAAACCCCAAACCCTAAACCCTAAACCCTAAACCCTAAACCCTAACACCCTAAACCCTAAACCCCATATCCGCCCCGGCGATGTGCCCGAGATTTGTCCACTGCTTTCTCGCGCGCCCAGCCTTTGTAGAAGGCTTCGGAGATCCGGAGTCCAAAAGCAGCCTGCACACGACATGTGGCTGAAGACCCTTAAAAGCTTAGTAGTAGAGTAGGTAACCTTTAACCTTTTTGGGTTAATATATTCCCCTTATATTCCCAAAGGTTAACCTTTAAAACCCCTAGGTACTGGACAACTGAGAAAGGGAACCCTTCTCAACCCTCTTTTGGCTCTCTTAAACAGGGACCCTATTCAGAGGGTCTCTATCCCCAAGGGTCACCCTAATCCGATCCCCTCAGCTCATGCTCCATCTGACCTGAAGAGCTCTGTGGAGCCTTGAAAGCCGGACTCACCAGCAACACCTCCCCGCCTGCATTTCCAAGAGCTACCGTTAGGGTTTAGGGTTTAGGGTTCAGGGTACCCTAAACTCTAAACCCTAAACCCTAAAGGGTGCTGTAGTGGTTGTGAATTGCTGACCTCTCGATGTTGGGTTGGTGTTGCGGTGAGCCAAAGGGCCTTGGCGTGCTGCACATTTGGGTGTGCACGATTCATGGTCTCTGGGAGGTCTTGTCTTTTTGGTGCTTTACTGTAACTTTACATCTTTAGCCTTTTTGGGTTTATTGGGTTTCTTAAGAAGGCAGCTAAAAGGTAAATTTATTAGCTACCCTGCTAAGAGCAGCCAAGTTGTGTAGGGCAGATGACCTGGATCTGCCACAGTTGGAGTTCTTCTCATCCAGTGCCTCATCCCTGCGAAGTGGATGAGTGGATGTTCT